CAGATCCTCTGCAGGAGCAGCCAGTGTTCTTAATTGCTGATCCATCTCTCCAGCCCCCTCAGCCTGATTTCTTATACAACCCAGGACAATCTGTCCAAGGGTGGATCATCCACCAATGGGCTGGACCTTCTCACATCACTCAATAAACAAGAAAATACCTCACAGACATGCCCACAGGCCAATCCAATAAAGGAAATTCCCCAATTGAGGCTTCCTCTCACCAGGTATGTCAAGTTGGCAAGAGAATCTATCCAGCACAAGTGACCCCTTATCAACTTGACACACAAATATATCACTATTTAAACATAATCTTTCCATTTCTTGTCCTCAAGATCTTGTTAACATTAACATCACAATATAAAACATAATACAATTTAAAAGTTCCACAGTCTTTAAAAATTCAAGTATTTTAAAAGTTCAAATTTTCTTATCTGTGGGCTTCTGTAAGATCCAAAACAAGTTACATATTGTCTTATTTAAAGAGAGAAGAACCAGGGGGCACTTAAACAAAACCAAAGTCCACCAGCATAGCTCAGTGTCTGACATCTGGGATTCACTCATGATCTCCTGGGCTCCAAAAGGCTTGGGCAGCTCCACTTCTCTGGTTCTGCCATCCATAGTATTGTATCTTGTTTCCTAGGCTCGTTCCACTCTACACCTGCCACTCTTCTTGGTGGTCATTCCACAGTCCTGGCATCTTCAATAAGGTGGTTTCTCCACTGCAACTGAGGCTGCACATTCACCAATGGCCAATCCTAGCCTCATATGGTGCCAAGCTCCAGATTCTCTCAATGATAGCTTTCAAGCCACCCAAACCAGTGCCATGTAGGGAGACTTTCACATCACCAAGTTCTGCTGCCAGCTTGATGTGCAGCCTTGGCCCCCTCTGCACCACAGCTTCTGTGGGCTGACCCTGAGGAAATTCTTGCCAGGTTTCACCTCAATGATGCTGGTTTCTTCTAAATCACAGCTGTTTTTTCAGCCCCAGCTAACCATCATTGTCCCAGCAAAGCAAAGGTTCTACTTTCACAGATTCTATACTGAAAATATCACACAGCAGCCTTTGCATCTTTCTAAAGCTTCACAAGCCAGGCCTCCATCATCTACATCCTTTTCAACACTGTCTTCCAAAGTCCCACAGAACAGCTCACTACGCTCTAAGCACTCAATGCCTTTTCTAGTCCAAAGCTCCAAAACTTCCACAAACCTCCCCAAAATAACATGGTCAGGTCCATCACAGCAATACCCCACATTTCTGGTACCAACAACTATCTGTTCTAGTTTGCTTTCTATTGCTGTGATAAAGTACTGACTAAAAATAACTTGGGAGAGAAAAGGGTTTATTCTGCTTACAACTCCCAGGTCACAATTCAACATTAAGGGAAGTCAGGGTAGGAACTTGAAGGCAGCAACTGAAGTGTGGACAATAGGAGTTCAGGCAAGCATTCCTGAGGAAGACATAGAGACACTGTCCATTCATTCAGAGTACAGCATCTGTTCTCACAGGGGAGCCAAAGCAGAGTGGGAATTTTGGAAGTGCTTGATTTTCTCATCTGTCAAGAGATCTCATGGTATTTTGAAGACATAAATGAAAGAAGCATTGAGGAGGATGTGCCTTACTAATCTCTGCATATTTACCTAACCAAAGTTAAAAAAGACACATTCTTATCTGACATCTTGCATTTGTTAAAGGCAAAACCTGTAACAGGCCCAGGGTCCTTTAGGGATTTGGAAGATGTAGTTTTGCTATGAGTCTTTATGCACACCAGTAATATGACAGTGAAGGGGCCAGAGAAATGGCTCAGCAGTTAAGAGTGCCTGCTGTTTTTACAAAGGACCTGAATTTGGTTCACAATTACCTGTAACTCCAGCTCTAGAGGAATCCAACAACCTCCTGGCCTCCATGGGTACCTGCACACATATGATAGGCAGACAAACATACATGCATATACGTGCATGTAAAAACACACATACATTCACACACACAAATCTAAAATTACACATGGCAACAAAAGTTTTTGGTTTCAGTTGATTATTTCTCCTGTTAAAGTAAGCCAAAGATAGAGCAATTACTTATAATGGGCAAGGCCTTGGGTTGAACTCCAGCACTAAAAAAAAAAAAAAGTCACTCACAAATGACTGTTTTCTTTCAATATCTTGGCCTATAGCGATGACCTGTCAGTGCCCATGGGCTCTCTTGGTAGCTTTTTCTAACCACTTGTGTGAATGCACATCTGGTGAACCTCCCCCTCAGTTCACTGGTAACACATAATTTTTGATTTTCTCCTCATCAGATGAAGTGGCTAACAACTGTCTGAAGTTTACTTTGATGACCTCAATGACATCAACAGTTTACACAAAGTGGTCATACAATATCTGGCATATGTACAAGCCTCCATAAATGCTATGCATAAAGCAGTTGTTGGGGTAGGGGTTAGCTCATTGTTAGAGGACTTGCTTAGCAAGTATGAGGCCCTGGCTTCCTTACCTAGCATTGCAAACAAAACAAAACACAGTTCAGGTTTCTTCACTGTGACTGCCTCCAGTTATATTGGTAACAATATGTATCAAAGAAGGAGTTCATTTGGTTTCCAAATTTTTCTTATTCTATTAAAAGTAGCATATATTTTTTTAAAAAATTTATTTTATGTGTGTGGGTGCATGTGCCATGGTGTATGTTTCAGAGGACAACTTGAAAGAGTAGGTTCTTGCTTTCTACCATGAGTCTCTGATATTGAATTCAGGTCATCAGGCTTGGTGGCAAGTGCCTTTATTCACTGAACCACCTCTTTGGCCCCTAAAAGTTCGGTCTTAAGTGAAAACTATATCCATGTTCACACCATTACACACAATAGCAAAGCAATGGATGTAATCTGGGTAGTATATACATCCAATGGTGTACTATTCACTTTTAAAAGGGGCACTTTGACACACTGTTGGAACTCTAGATACATTAGGCTAAATTAAATTAACCTAGCCACAAAAAGATCAATACTGGGGCTGGAGAGACGACTCAGTGGTTAAGAGCACCTGCTGTTCTTGCAGAGGATCAGGGTTTGGTTCCCAGCATGGCAACTAACAACCGTCTATAACTCCAGTTCCAGGTGATCCAATTCCCTCTTCTGTACTCCTTAGGCACTAGGTATGGCACACATACATACATGCAGGTAAAAAATTCATACACGTTAAAAACAAAAGCCAAAGCTATGACTCCACTTTTCATGAGGTACCCAGTCATCAAATTCATATAAGTAGGATGTTGGTTACCAGGGCTGGAGGTGAGGGAACCTGTGGAACTATGGTTTAATGGATGCATATGATGAAAAGAACACTGGAGAATGGCTGTGCAACAAGGTATTTGCACTCAGCTATACAAATCACGATCGTTACAATTTTTGTTTTTTAAAAAATGTTTTATTTTTATTTTAGTGTATGAGTGGACTGCCTGCATATATGTAAGTGCACCCGTGTCATGAAGTCGTGCAATGCTTCCGGAGGTCAGAAGGCATTGGATCCCCTGAAACTTGAGTTACTGACAGGTGTTAGCTGCCATGTGGATGCTGGGAATCGAATCCCGGACTTCTCCAAGGGCAACCAGTGACCTTAACCGCTGAGTCATCTCTTCAGCCCCTCTTTTTATTTTTTTGTTTTTTGTTTTTGAGACAGGGTTTTCCTAAAGCCCCAGCTGGCCTGGATTTCGCTATATAGCCCAAACTGGCCTCCAGCTAATGGAGATACGCCTACCTCTGACTCCCAAGTGCTGGGATTAAAGGCTTGAACCACCACGCCCGGCTAATTTTGTTAATTGAATAAAATATTTTAAACGGTTTGTCCTACTGTACATATCAAATTCACGTTCCACTTTGCTTGTTTTTCTTTATTTTTTACATATTGTTCTCCCAGCACTTCCGTTTCCTCTTGTTTTTTTCTCTAGAATTCTCTTTATGCTTCCCATACCAACAGGCAACAGATTGTGTTTTGTCTCAAAGATACTGCTGTCACGGTTCACATCCTTCATGTGAATCTCATTCATTCAAACGAGCCCTCTACCTTTTCTGTACCACACAGCAAGGCCTGCATATGGCTTTGTTATTTTAGACTGCCTGTCCAATATTAAGTCTCAACTCCAGAAGGCTAGAGGGCATTATCGCAGTTTTTAATGTACACACATCTCACTCAGCACAGAGGAGTCCCATAAAATACCCAATGCGTTGGACATCGCAACAGATAGCGCCAATTCACATTTTAAATGGGATTTTCACCAAGTAGAGTACAACTTCAACACAAAAGCTTCCAAAGCAGCAAAATTGGGTCTTTCAGGATCCTTGGGAGCAGTTCGGTAATTTACATAGCTTACCACCTTCGAGAACACTTTCTATGTGTCATCTTCCGGCCACGCGCGAGGGCGAGGCAGCACTATTTCTGAAAGTACTCAAGTAAGGATCACACCGTATACGGGGCGGCTCGACAGCTCAAACGTGTAAGCCTCCACCCCGGGGCTCCGCTCGCTCGCAAAATCACCTTGGAGGGTTTAAAAGCCGAGTTTCCGGCAGTAGCATCTGCGCATGCGCACTATGATAAAAGTGCTCCGACCTGGGCGTGCTACGGAGAGTCGCAGGGCTCAACTTCCGTCGCCGAAATTGCCCGATAACAGCGGGCACCCGTAACCCAGAAGTGAAAGCCTGTTTCCTTCAGGTATTAGACACCCATGACCGAAAGAAGTTCCGGCCGGAAGACTTTTGTCCACACTCTGCGGACTTCTCGCTAACTCTTATCACACAGCCAGCGTTCTGTTTCCGTGTTCACTTAGATCCCATGTTCCTTGTATTGCCCGAGTTTTGCCTCCACTCCCAAGGGCCCTAATTTTCCCCGGTCACCCTTTTCCTTAAAGCGCCTTTGTCCTACGGATAGCCATTAGGGTCAATCAACCTTCCCTTGGGGGTAAAAGGGGCAGGTGGTGCCAGTTTCCGAAGCCCAACGCTGCCAGACCTGCGGCTGCGCGGGGCGTTACTATAGAGAGGAAGCCACCGCTCTGGACTCGGTTTATAGTCTCTATGGTCCACCCGGGTCGGTGGCGGTAAGGGGGAAGAAGGGAGACCGCACTGCGCAGGCGCAGTCAGCTTCTCACTTTTTTTTTTTTTTTTTTTTTTTTTAATCCCCGCACCAAGCGCTTAACCTCATTGGGGTGGAGAAGGCGGCGGCTGTCCGGTCCGCATCCGCAACAGTAGTGAATAATAGAGCTGTAAGTACCGGGTTAAGGACGAAGGCGCTGTAGGCTGAAGTCCACCCGAGGGCCCTGGTCCCTTTCCCGGCGGCGGCGGCGGCGGCGGGCGCAGGGTCCGGGCAGGGAAGGTGTCCGGCTCTGTCAGCCGCTCTGGGGTGCACTTTTGGGGGAGGGGGTGACCCCGAGGTGGGATCGGGGTGAGGAGCCGGGGTGCGAGGGTTGTTGGTCCCATCCCGATTGCAGGCTGCCTTGCAGAGGGGAGGTGGAGCGACGATGGGGTCAAGCTGGGCTTTGTGTGCCCCTGTCGCTTTCAGACCCCACCCCGGGGCCCCTCCTGACCCCTTGTCTCCCCAGGCCGGTTGGGGAAAGCCAGAGCAGCCTGGGGGGCGCGCTGAAAGGAGCCTCGGTTGCAAAGACAGGGAAGGGGCTTCGGCAGAGCGAACCCCACAACTAGTCATCGGAGAGTGATGGGTGTGGAGAAAGATCCAGAGCGAAGAAGGGGTTGTCTGGGAGGCCAGGCGGGCGGACGGGGCTCCCAGCCGGGCCTAGACAAAAGCGGAGCGGCCGGGGCCCTGCGGGCTGCGGAGGGTCCCCTTGGTCCCCAGGAGGGCCCCCAGGGAGGGTCTTTGCGAAGCTGGGGAAAGCGAGCAAGTGCTGAGTTAAGCCTGTGCACCCTCCTCAACTTGCCTTTGTTGTTCTTTGGTATTGGCAGAGCCGCTCTGACGGAGATGAGTGTGTGATCTTGCACGTTAGTCTGGTTGGGTACAATGGAGCTGATGGAATCTTGCTTTCCATTTTCTGAGCTGCTTGAATGAGTGTGGGGTTTTCTAAACTAAAACTCATTGCATAATCTAAAGATTTGTGGGTTTTTTTTTTTTTTTTTTTTTGGTCTTTTTTTGAGACAGGGTCTCCTTGTAGCCCCAGCTGGCTTGGATCTCACTATGTAGATCAGGCTGGCCTCGAACTCACAGAGATCCGCCTGCCTCAGCCTCCCAAGTGCTGGGATTAAAGGCGTGCCCCACCATGCCCTGCGAATCTAAAGATTTTTAAAAAATAGTTGTTTTTATTTCTTAAATTAAAAAAACAAATTAGGTGGAGCCTTAAAGCATGTTGTGTCGCATCCGGGTGAATTTCTGTTAGGGGAATTCGTTGATGAAACACTGACCTAATGGTATAACCTATGAGTTCTTTAAACCTGATACTTTAATTTGTAGATGTGGCAGTGAGCGCTTCGGATGCTGTAGTCCTTTGGGAGGCAGTGATGAAGGAGAGTCAGGAGAGATACAGTTGCATGCTGCCCGGCACTTCGCACCAGATTCAGGTGCCACAGGCCAGTATCAATTCTGGCTTTAGAAATTATTGTTTTTAGCCGGGCGTGGTGGTGCACGCCTTCAATCCCAGCATTCGGGAGGCAGAGGCAGGCGGATCTCTGTGAGTGCAAGGCCACCCTGGTCTACATAGTGAGTTCCAGGACAGCTGAGGCTATAGGGAGACCCTGTCTCAAAAAGACCCCCCCCCCAAAAAAAGAAAGAAATTATTGTTTTTATTACTATTTGTGACATTTATGGAACTCTTGGTATGAGGAATTCTAAACGGGTAAGATTGCTCATCCTTGGATTTAGGAGGGAGAGTAGCAACATTGATGCAGAGACTATAGAGATAGGGAAAAATACCACAGTGCCCCAGAGAGCTGAATATTATTTATCTTTTTAATCCTTGCTAAGAAAGATTTAAATTTTAATGAGCTATTTTCTCATTCATCTTTGTAAAATTGTCTAGTGCACCTTTGTAGTAGTACTCAAATCTCAGTTTCTGTTAGTCATCGTTTATCATGGGTAACAAGTAACTGTGCTGATTAATTTTTATTGTACACTTGATACAATCTAGAGTCCCCTGGGAAGAGGGCACCTCAATTGAGAGATTTCTCAGATCAAATTGGCCTATGGGCATGTGTGTGAGGAGTTGTTTTGATTGATGGTTGATGTGGACAGGCCCAGCCCCACTGTAGAAGGCACTATTCCTAGGCAGGTGAGTGAGTCTAGGTTGTATAAGAAAGCTAGTTGTGGGAGCCAGAGAGCAAACCAGTAAATATTGTTTCTTCATGGACTGTGCTTCAAGTTCTTGTCCCGACTACTTCAATGATGAATTGTAGTCTGTAATTGTAAGCCAAATAAACCCTTTTCTTCCCTTAAGTTGCTTTTGGTCATGGTGTTTATCATAGCAATAAAAAGCAAACTAATAGAGTCACTACTTTAGATCTTTAAAGTTTTAATTCATTATTTATGTTTTGTTGTTGAGGCTTGAACCCAGGGCCTTCTATGTGCTAGGCAAATGCTCTACCATTTAGTTTTTAAAAAAACTTTTGTTTATTTGTGTGTGTGAGAGAGAGGGGGGGGAGAGAGAGAGAGAAATGAGAAAGTTTACATGTACCATGGCATGCATGTGGAGGGTTAGAGAACAGCTTGAGGGAGTCCACGCTCTCTTTCTACCATGTGTATGTATCCTGAGAATTGAGCTCAGGTCCTTGGGCTTGACAGCAAATGCTGTTACTGGCCCCCAACATTTCTTTTGTGTTAATAGCAAGCAAAAATCTACAGCTTGGTGTGTTTGTCTCAGTAATAACTGTAATAGACTTTCTGATGATGGGAACTTGCTTTTTATAGAGCAAGATTCACATCCTTAAAATAGTTTACATGGATGGTAAGGAATGATTGGTCAGAAGGACATTAGGGTTATCATTCAAATGTATTACATTTTGTTTGGTTTTGGATTTAATTTTTTTTTCAGTCTTGCTAATTTTCTGTTCTTGAGTAGCTCAGTGTCTTCAGAAGTTACGTGAGATAATTTTTAGATCCGAGACTTGTTTGAGATTCCATTTATTTTTACTAATTACTTAAAATCAGTTTTATATTACATTTATTTATTTAGTGTGTGTATGCGAGTGGGTATGAATGAATGTGCCACAATGCATGTGTGGAAGTCAGAGGACAATTTTCAGAGTTTGTTCTTTCCTTCTACCAAGTGGATCCCAGGGTTGGAATTCAGGCTTGGTGGCAAGTGCCTTCTTTACCTGCTGAGCCATCTTAAGGACCCTAAAATTAACTTTAAATAAATAATACTTCTAATTTTGTAGTACTATTGTAAGTATAACTATTTAAAGTTAAAGATTAGGCTCAGAACTGAGTTCCAATACTTGCCACTTGTGATAAATGCAAATTTGGTGCTCAAATCACTCAATTGGTGAAAATCGTAGATAGTAATAAATTGTGTTTAAAAAAAGAATCACTTGAAAGAGTTCCTTGAAGCTAAGAGAAAGATCTGTTTTCAATTAAAATAAAAACCAAACAAAGAAAAAAATCTCTTCTGATGGCAGTTTTTGGTTTGTAAAATGTTTCACAAATGAACCATGCTTTCTTACTCGGTGCCCAGCCCAGCATCACCCCGTAAAGCCTCTATACATACATAGACTGTGTGTTGAATTAACCAATCTGTAAAGTGCCATAATTTACTGATTGTTTCTAGCTGGTTCCCCCCATCCTAGGGCTTTACTGCCTCTTTTTCTGCCACACCAGACGACTTTTCTGTCCAAATTCTTAAGGTATCACTCCCCCATCCCACCTCTCTTCATGGAGCCCAAAAGATATAGCTCAGATGTGCCCAGATGGTGGAGCATCTTCTCCAACACCCTTTTAACTTCTGTTTGCATCCTGCCGGGAAGCCTCCACACTCCTGCTCTTTCTGCTTGTATCCCTCACCTTCCTCCTGGTCCCTCACTCTGGGGCATTCACTCTTTAAATCCTTGGATACAAGGAGTTTATAGAACATACTCTGATGTCTTCTGTTTGCTGGTGTGACTTTATAACTAGTGGAGGTTGTTGATTGTGTGAAAGAATAAAGAAATGTAAATGAATAGGATTAAAGCTGTGGAAGAGTTCTTATATCCACAATCTCTACTTAGACACAAAATGCAGGCATGCTTCTTTTCTCCAGAACAGGCTTTGGTTACCAGAAATGTTTTAGACTGCACAAAGTCTGGCCCCTTCCCTTCACTTGTTGATGTTAGTTAACCCCCTGAAGCAGTGTGAATTAAATCTTTTTGAAACACATCTTCAGGTTCCTCTGGTCAGTCAGGCTTTCTCTAGATTTAAATGAGATTCTTTACTAAACCCATTTTTGAGTTGGGTACAAGGTCCCAAGAGGTTCATTTGTAAAGATATGCATATTCTCAGCATGTCAGAGGCTCCCGAGTCTGGGAGGGGAGACCATAACCTGAATTGATGCTGGTTATATTAGAAGTATGCAAACAACCCTAGATCCTTTGTTCCCTCTTGGTTTATTTGTATTCTAGTTTATTTGTATTGGGCACTGAACCCAGGGCCTCAAGCACTATGTTGTCTGCCACTGACTGAGCTACATTCCAGTCCCCTCTCTGGATTAAGAGAAGCTTTCATGCCTATTTATATAAAATGTGTATGAGTGTTTTGACTGCATGTCTATAAGAGGGTGTTGGATCCCCTGGAACTGGAGTTACAGATGGTTGTTAGCAGCCATGTGGGTGCTGGAAACTGAACTCAGGTCTTCTGCAAGAGCAGTAAGTGCCCTTAACTGCTGAACCATCTCTCTATCCCCAATGCTTTTATTTTTTTAAAAAATATATCTATTTGCCGGGTGTGGTGGTGCACGCCTGTAGTCCCAGCACTTGGGAGGCAGAGGCAGGCAGATCTCTGTGAGTTCAAGGCCAGCCTGGTCTACATAGTGAGTTCCAGGACAGCTGGGACTACAGGGAGATTCTGTCTCAAAAAGACAAAAAAAAAAAAAAATCCATTTAAATTTTATGTGTATGAGTGTTTTGTCTGCATGTATGTAAGTGTCCCACCTTTGTGCAATGGCCATGGAGGTTAGAAGATGGAATCAGATTCCCTGGAACTGAACAGTTATTAGCCACCATGTGGATACTGGGATCTGAACCTGGGTCTTCTGCAAGAACAGCCAGTGTTCTTAACTGCTTAGCCATTTCT